TCATGCTCCACACTGCATAATGTGTGCAACCAGAGAAAGGAATAATGCGGAAGCTCTCCTGCTCCCGAGAGCAGCCAGCTAAGGCACAGCTATACAGGTAAACCAAACAGTGCCAGGTCCTGCAATTCAGCCACATGCATCTTTAGCACAGCCCCGGGGCACTTCTGGCCTAGGGCACATAGCACCATCCCCAGCAATTCCCAAGTGTGGTTCAGGAGTCAGCATGGAGCTGAGACGCTGCCCAGTGGGTGCAAACACTGTTTTGGAGGCTGAGAGTATTTAATAAGGTATATGTGACCAGACCATTCTGGTCTCAAAGCCCCAAAACAGGCAGTTTAGTTTAATACAGACGCAGACTTAATCGCTGTCATGACAAGTAAATTACCAGTGTTAAGGAGAAACATTGATGTCATTGCTGATCCACTACCCTGGAAAAAAGGGGCTCCAACTTCCCAGAATCACCAGTTAAAGAGATCCCAGGACGTAAGTCAAAACTCAGCGTGAGAGGGATGTTTGACTACATCAACAAATCTAGCCCAGATCGTTTATATAACCACACTTACCTTCCACAGAGGCGAGCACAATGCATGCGCCAGGTACTGTTATGACTACGCAGTAATTACATTCACCCTAAATACTCCTAAAATATTCGAAATAAGACAGTGACTCACTCCACACGCTGCACCAGGGAGCACCACGCTACTGAAACACGTATTTCAGCTAGACCTGTTTCTAGCAGCTTTTTCAGAAACTGTATATTCTCTTCCATAGCAAAAAGCTCACCTTCCAAATCAGTGCTAGAGGCAGCGGAAGCGTTGATAGCAGCAGGAGCAAAGCTGGCTGGGCTGGCATTTACTGCTGAGGCTGAAAGAGTTTTTATGGCTTCTGCTTCTACTTCAGTAATGATTTCTAGCAGTCCAAACTCATTTAAACAGAACTGCAGGTAACAGAAGAAACCAAGTGAATGAGCAGTAGTAAAAGGGCTAGGAAGGGGGACAAGAAGGAATATAGGTTTCACTGAGGAGCAACTAGGTATGGGACAAAAAGAAGTGGCTGTATGTACATTAAAAAGCACTAAAAATAAGTAACAATAAAAGTGAGAAACACCCAACACAACTCTTCCTCAAAATGCCACCAACGGGCCCCAAAAAAACCCCAATAATGCATTTTGCTGTCAACAAAGGAAAGCAACATTAATTCTACCTGCTTTGGATGCGCTCCCCTTGTAAAACCCAGACCTCTGAATAAATACCCTCAGAAAAGCAGTTTAACCCAAAAAACTGCTCTGAGAGTTCAAATTCATCCAACAAAGCGCAATTACAGTTATGACATAAAGCAGCTTCCCTAAAATCTCAGTGCAAGCAGGAATCACCCAGCTGTTGACAGAAAGGTCACATTCCAGTGGAGAACTTGTCCAATACGTCCCCAGGTGGTGCTGGCTGGGCTTTAAAGACCTCAGAGCAGGCGACAGCCGGGACTGCATAAACGCAGCGAGCATCTGGAGCTGCAAGAGGCCAAGCGGTTCTCAACCCTTCTTCAATGACATTTGACAGCCTGGTGGGAAATGAGCTTCCCAGAGGTGCAGAGGAATGCGGGGATAGGCAGAGGCAATACTGTTGAAGAACAGCAGACACTGAGAAATAACTAGCCTTTCTTTAATTGATAAGCTCATCCTTGCACAGTACCACTTATTAGTGAAAGCCACAGTGGGGCCCTGACCCAAAGGCAGAGGGGAGAGTCTCAAGTCCAAACCAACTGTTTCCGAACAACCTAGCAATACACCTAACAGAAGCCACAGGCAGCACAGGTGGGTAGGTAACATGTACCAGTACGGCCAGGAGTCACAGTGTCCGAGCTCCCAGTCCCAGCTCCCCCAAGTTTTGACCCTTAAGAAACCCTCCATCAGCTGCTGGGGCAGGTGACCCTCCCAGGGAGATTCTGCTAGCACACCCATCCTCTGATCCAACACAGCACCTGCCTAGCAACCCTGCACACGCGCTGCCTACTCCTACAAGAGTAAATACAGATGCAGAACTAGAAAACCCCTCTAGACACACAGCGAAGCGCTCACACCATGGGGTAGCTACAGAAAAGGAAAGATACGTGGCAGACTTCAGAGACTCTCATCCTTTAAGCTTAAAAAATTTCTTAGGGTATGAAGGAACACTTCATTGGTCCAGATAAAATTATTAAAGTGTGCCAAATAGTGTCAATGTGCATCTATTATCAGTCCCTATCTGCAAAGGCAACCGAGCACCAAAAAAAAAAAAAAAAAATCACCTTTTGGATGAGCAAATAACTCTAAAGATTACTCACTCCTTGATCTTCTTTACTGTCTCCAATACGGAGCTACTGAACTCCAGAATGAAAGAGACAAGTCAAAGGTGGGTTGCATTTGCAAGCTCTGCTCCAAAGCTTTTATTCATAGCACTTTATTAGTTTGAGCTCTTTTCTCAGCCATCCGCTCTTCGCTCAAACCTGCTAAACCCAGTTTAAAAGCATTTGCTTCACCTCTGAAGCAGGGTTCCTCATTGCATTGAGAAG